CGAGTCCGTGTTTATCTCCTTGGATGACATTCAGGTGGATGGGAGCCTGAATTATGTTGAGAAGCCGGTCGCCATATTAGACAGGAAGACAAAGGGTCTTTGGAACAAGGAAGTGAAGTTGGTAAAGGTGCAATGGCAGCACCGAAAGGGCTCCAAATGGACATAGGAGCCGGAAGAGGAGATGCGGGAGCATTACCCCGACCTGTTTACAGCTACGAACTTCGAGGATGAAGTCTAGTTCAAGTGGGGGAGAGTTGTAACCCTCTAAATTAGGTACATCTTAAAACCCTCAAGGATTCACGTTTTACATAATTGGCCCTTTAAGTACGCTGGGTGTACTTAAGTGTACGCTTTTAAGTACGCTGGGTGTACTTAAGTGTACGCTTAGCGTACTAGCTATGGTTGGTCACGGAGGAGTTGGACGTACGATGGGCGTACCAGAAGTACGGCGGGCGTACATGCTGAGGGTGCAAACCCTAAATTTCGGGCTTGTGACCTATTTAAACGCCTTTAAACCCCTTGAGCCTCACCCTCATCAGCTCTCTTCACCTTCAAACGTTCCTGGAAGCCCTAATAGCCTTTGTGAGTGCTTGTGAGCCTTAAGAGTGCATTGTGGTCCTTTTTAGTGTTCATTCTAAGAAGAACAAGTGGTCAAGCAAGCTTGGGACGGGTTGGTGCTTCAAGAATCTGCATCTTGGTCATCTTACAAAGCTTCTGGAGGTAAAAATCTTACACCTTTCCACTTAAATCTCTAGATCTAGCTAGGGTTTTCTACCTTGTCCCTTTTGGTTGATTTTGGACCCCCATTGGTGAGTTAAGCAACTCTAGAGGATAATAATGACAGATCTGAGGTCCCTTGGTTCTTTAGTAGCATAAAAATGGAGTCTTGGTTGATGTATTGGCCTCATGCATGGGTTAAAGACCTTGAAAAGGTCTTAATGGAGGTGTTGGGTGTATATGAGCCATGCAAAGGCATAAAGTTGCCAACTTTATGCCTTAGGACGTCTTAACAAACTTAGATCTGGCTTTTGGACGTAAAGGAATCGGGTATTAAGCACTTAATGGAGAAAGTGCTTAATCTAGTAGTACGTTGGGCGTACCCAATGTACGCTGCGCGTAGTCCCAAGACCCTAGTGCTGTAACACCCAAAGTTTCAAAGGCCAAGAAAGGGAAGGAAAGCCCTAATTTAAGGGTCAACTCGGCGAGTCCAAGGAAGGACTCGACGAGTCCGAGCGGGATCTGAGTTGAGGAATAAGTGACCAACTCGGCGAGTCGGCCAAGGCGACTCGGCGAGTAGGGTCTGTGCGAGGAAAACCCTAAAATCGGGACTTAGAGCCTATTTAAACGTCCCATTCTCTCCCCTAGGGTTCCTTTACTGCCCCTTTCACCCAGAACGCCGCACCCTAAGCCCCCATTGTGCTCATTCATGCTTTTGGACATTTTTGAGTGATTTAAAGGAAGAAGAAGAAGTGGGAATCTTTGAAGCATCAAGGAGTGGCATTGGATCCGAAGTTTGGGGATCATTTCAGAGCATTTGAAGGTGTTAAGTCGTTTCTCTCCTCCAGATTTTCCTTGGTTATGAGTTTTGGGGCTTTTAAGCCATGTTTGAAATCAATCTCGAGCTTGAGGTCCAGATCTGAGGTTGCTACCTCAGATCCATTCTTGTTTTGGTCTAGAATTCCGTAAAGTATCAGCTCTTGAGTAGATCATGGAGTCTTTTTGCCTTAAGCCCTAGTTTTTGGCATGTTTTGCCTAGATCTCCTTCTCTACACGTTTGCAACTTTACGTGGGGAATAGGCTTGGGAAGGGTAGATCTACAGTTTGGAGTCCATGCATGACTCAAAGGTCCTCTACATGTAAGGAGAACTAAAAAGACTCGGCGAGTCCTTTGAGTGGACTCGGCGAGTAGCATGAAGTTGTGGAGAAACTCGACGAGTGGGATGAACAACTCGTCGAGTCGTATGAAGATTGCCTTGTACTCGGCGAGTCAGGTCGCGAAACCCCAAATCCTTCGAGTTGTGACTCGAATCAGTGATTCGGGTGGAGACTCAGTGAGTTGGACAGGTCTGGACTCAGAAATCGGTAGACTCGGCGAGTCATGGACTGACTCGGCAAGTCGAGTCATGAATGGAAGGAATCTGAACATTATGAACTCGGTGAGTCAGTATGGTGACTCGGCGAGTAGGGTTGACCTGGAAGGTTGACTTTGACCAGGACTTTAACTTTGGACCAGGGTGGACTTGGTTGTCTTTCGGGTGTCAGTTAGACTCAGTGTTGCATTGATATTGGTAGTTCGGGGAGCAAGGGGAGCAGGAGTTTCGTGAGTTGTCGGGCAACAACTAGTGAGATCATCAGCAAGTTCAGCCAGTGCAGGTGAGTTTCCCTTTGTGTGAATGGGTCTAAGGCTACAATGCCGGCCCATGCAGTTATGAGTAGAAGACCCGGGGGTTAGCCCTAGGCACAGTATGCTGGTATTATTTTTAGGACGAGGTCCATTAATAACGGGCGGGTGCCCGGGGGATTGTTTATATGATAGTTATACTTGTTGTCTGTGTGATACATGTATGTGCCTGGTAGGGAGGTGAGTGCGGGCGAGGTCCCGTATCTCACCAATAGCAGAGTGTGGATGGGGTTCCATATCTCATTAGTAGCAGAATAGGGGCGAGGCCCGAACTAGAACCGGAGTGAGAGTGGGCTAGGCCCGTACCTCACTACCATTAGTAGCGTGGACGGGGTTCCATGACTCATCAGTAGCAGGACATTGGCGAGGCCCAGGATAGGCGAGGCCTTAGGACAGAACCAGTTGTATGTGTTAGTTATGTGTTGTGAAATGTTTATGTGTTATTATTTGCTGGCGGGCGAGGCCCTGTGACAGGCAGGGCCTAAGTAAAACAGATTTGTATCCGAGCGGGGATCGAAGCCAGGCGGGGCCTGGAGCGGCGGGGCCGTTGTAGGGGGCGAGGCCCGAGGTAGGGGGCGTGGCCCAGTATGTGCAGTATGTGGTTATGCATGGTATGTGATAGGGTGGGGAACTCACTAAGCTTCGTGCTTACGGTTTTCAGTTTTGGTTTCAGGTAATTACGGTAGCGGAGGGAAGAGCTCGGGGTGATCGCATGGCACACACCATAGATTAGACAGCCTGGGAATGTTTACTCTGATAATGAACATGTGTTTTGAAAACTTATACTCATATTATGTTTTGGAATGATGACTTTACTTTAAGTAATGATTTATTAAAAGAAATTTTTGGTCTTAAATTTTGGGTCGTTACAAGTGCGCTACACGTACCAGGATGGTACGTTGAGCGTACGCATCACAGTTGGGCCGAATCTGTTTTGGGCCTTTGAGCCATTGAGCCTTATTTGGTTATTGGACTTGGTTATATTTTGTGAGTTATGGGCCATTTCATCTGTTATGGGCCATGGATATATTGGTTGGGCCTTAATGGGCCAAGAGGCCCATTAATGATTTTGGACATGGACGTTGGGCCCATTAACAAAGAAAGGATAATTGGGCCTTTTTGGGAGGACTTGGGGTTTGGGTTTCCTTTTGATTAAGTAAATTCCTAACATTGATTAATATTATTAATCAGCACGGGAGGTTACATACTATTAGGATAACAACTTTCGCATTCAGCAGACCGTGGTGAGTCTTTTCACCATACCAATGGGTCTAAGGCACCAATGCCGACCTATTTATTGTTGTATGGATTGATAGTTGGTTATGTTATGTGTCGTTAGGACATTTGTATGAAGGACACCGAGAGGTTCCCTGGGTAGTATAATTAAGACCATGTGGAGGTTCCCATGGCATCTAGTATAAATCCTTGGAGGGTTTCCTTGGATTCTTAGAATGTTAATTTGTTAGCTCATATGATATTGCGTGACTTGTGTAGACCGCGTGGGGGTTCCCGCGGCAATTAGCCAAGGCCACGTGGGGGTTCCAGTGGCGACTAGCCAAGACCGAGTGGGGGTTTCCCGTGGCGTTTGGTGTAAGACCTTGAAGGTTTCCATGGCTTCCTTATATGTTGTATGCATGACTTATGTGAATGTATAGCTGTTTAGCTAGTATGATATGTTGTATGTGGTTTGTGTGTGGGTATGCTCTGGGGAACTCTCTAAACTTTCAGCTTACCGTTTGCAGATTTGTTTCAGGTACATCTGAGCCCAAGGGCAAGGGCAATGCATGATGATGCGACGTGCACTCTATCTCTCTCACTGATATGTTATGGGACACTCTGATGTTTTTAAAATAATTTAGTAATGAACGTGGATTTGAAAATAATTGTTTTGAGATTTCATGGTTATGCAAATGGGTTTGATTAATTAAAAATGAAAAATTTTCTTTGTAAAATTTGGGTTATTACGCTAAGTTTGTGATGTAATATATTCAATTATATCATACAATGTGCTATAGCTAAATGTACTTGATTTTCCATGTATGCATTTAGATTTGGATAGAATTTTTTTTATAGTTTTTATGCAATTGTTTTTATATTTTGTAAAATTTTTAAACTTAGGTTAATAAAATTAAAATTTAGAGTTATAATTTACATAAAAGTTTTTATACTAAAATAGAAATAAAAAACTATGATTGGTGAAGATGAAGATTTATTTATCTTTCATGATAGGGATGAAAATGTGGATGAAAATTAGAATAAGAATTCAGGTATGAAGGTAAAGATTGTAGTCTTCGGTATTCCTCCTCCCGTTTCATCTATTCCTATAAATATGATATATATCAATTAGCAAAACATTCATACTTTGTTAACTTTCAATATAATAAAATATTTAAATTAGTATTTTTAATATATTAAAAATAGTTTCATGGGTATATATTTTTATATATTATGAGTTATGAATTATGAAAGTGTCTTTATGTACAATTTATTGGTAGGAAAGTAATAATAGATAAATATCCAGCCCATACATGATACAGACAGATAGACTCCTTTACAAATGGCGGATACCACTAGATGCAAAACTACGTCTATCCTTCAACTTCAATCCATACGCTTCCATTTTTGTCCCCACCATATCCCTACCCATCCTCACCTCGCCATGCCAATCTTCTTCCTCTAGTTCTCAATCCAACCCTCTTTAGCATTTTCTTTCAATAGTCCTCTGGTTATTATGGCTGTCGCCATGGCCTCTTGTGGGTGCACTATTGGAGTTTACACCAAATTAGTTGCATTCGAGAAGCAACCCATCTCTAAAGCTGCGTTCTTCGGTTCAGATCCTCTTAAACATCTATGTACTTCAACTAAACCAAGGTATGCCCCACCCGATTTCCTGTTTGTAATTTTGAGTTCCTTTAATTGGCGTTTCTTTTTAGAGTCAATCTAACTCGATCCAGCTCTAGATTTCTTTAATAATTCGTAACGTTTTGTGGGTTTTCTGATTGCGTGTAAGCATATTTGATTAATGTGTGTACACCAAGAGGAGGATTGTTAATTTGCTGTAATTGATCGAGCAAATACGAGTTGCTGATTTATGTAACTTTAGTCTTTAATCGTATTGGGCTCTAAACTTCTAACCGATTGATCAGCTGTAAATTATACATCCCTAATCCGAAGCTGATCGAGGAAGTATTTGGATACGTAGCAATTATGAGTTCCTAGTGTTGAAAAAAAGTGATTATATTATATTTTTTTTAATTATTTTTCTGTCAAGGTTAAATTGGGAAACAATTAAGGAGTCCAACAATCAGTTTTAGGGGTTTATACAAAAACGATTATGATTATAATCTTCTGATTATATAGAGAGTCAAAATAATAAGATTTGGAAAGAATGACGCGTTTTGGGGGCATATTAGATCACAAACATGAAAGATTTCTCCAAGTAACATGAAACATGCATTAGGATTTAGGGTTGTTATTCTAATTTTTGATTTGGGTTGTTACCCAGATTATCATATTCATTGAGTACTATGATTCCAAAAGCATCAGCCACAGCCATTGAGGTATTAAGCAAGGGATTTGGTAACACCTTTTCTTTGAAGATCTGTTTGATTTCTGACTTTATGTTCATCGGATTTTGGTATGGTTTGCAGGATGGAAGTTATCAAGAAACAGATGTGATTCCAACACCCAAAGTAATTATCGACCAGGACTCAGACCCAAATGCAACTGTTGTGGAGATTACCTTTGGGAATCGCCTTGGAGCTCTTCTTGACACTGTATGAACGAAACCTTCATAAATCAAATAGAAATTTTATTATTAATTTAGTAGATTTGCTATTGTCATTGATTACTGGGAACTGTATGAGCAGATGAATGCTCTAAAAAATCTTGGATTGAATGTTGTCAAAGCAAACGTTCATCTGGATTCTTCAGGGAAGCATAACACGTTCTCGATCACTAAATCGTAAGACTATTGAGCTTAATTTGTCTTCTTGGACCACATGTCCCATGTTTTTGATTTATTAAAGGGTCAAAGAATTGGTTTTGGTACAACAAAATTGAGTTTAATGTAGAATATTGGTCCATTTTGGTTACCCTTATGAACAGTTAATATGAATCCATTTGCAGCTCGACTGGTCGGAAAGTTGAGGATCCTGAGTTGCTTGAGGCCATCCGTCTAACAATTATTAGCAATCTTCTTGAATATCACCCGGTATTTATTTTTATTAATTATTACACCAATTTCATATTTTAATTATCATGTTGAATTAATGTTTTTGGTCATCAGGAATCAAGCGCTCAGTTAGCTATGGGAGAAGCCTTTGGAGTCGAAGCACCAAAACAGAAGGTACCAATCAATCAATATGTCACAAGCTTCGTCTGTTTGGACCCTATGGAAGGGCGATTTTGTCATTTGGCTAATATTCACTACTGGTTTGTCTTTGCCTCAGCTTGATGTTGACATTGCAACTCGCATCCGTATATCTGATGATGGTCCCGATCGAAGGTAATCCTGCATGTTTGACTTTGACATCTAAAAGTCAAACAGCAACTCATTTGACAATTGACGTACAGAAGTCAAATACCAAGTTTGACTTTGAGAATTGATGGATATAATTTCGTAAACAGTTTGCTCTCAGTGGAAACAGCAGATAGGCCTGGGTTACTGGTAGACCTTGTGAAAATTATCACTGATATTAACGTTGCAGTAGAGTCAGGAGAGTTTGACACCGAGGTAACAATAATCCCATTCATTAAAAGGACAAATTGCAACTAACTTTACCCATAATAGCAACATACATACATTTCAAATTTCTTTACCAATAATAGCAAAATGGAAGAAATAAAGTACATTACTATATTGGTAGAGAAATGTAAGTATGTTGCTATTATGGGTAAAAAATAAAATACATGGCACTTTTTGGTAGTTAGAGTAAAGTAAGTTGCTATTATCATGAAACCGAACCAAACCAACCTATGTGGTGCAGGGTTTGTTGGCCAAGGCCAAGTTCCATGTGAATTACAAGAATAAGGCTCTCATCAAACCCCTTCAGCTGGTAATTAATACACACGACACCATCAAGTTTTAGCCAAATTTGAAGTGTAGTTTTTTTAGAAGGTATGATTGACGATTCATTATTTTTTTTTTTGCAGGTTGTCACTAATAGTTTGCGTTACTTTTTAAGACGCCCGTCAACAGATGAGTCAAGTTTTTGAAAATAAAACTTTATTGGATCATAATGGAAAAGACAGTAGTCCATATGATTAATGATGGTGTTGTGGTGTTATACCCCTTTTCCAGAAATACTTGGGAGTTTACATTACAAAATGTAAAGTTATTTACATTTATATGATACAAAAAAAAAGGATCGACATTTCTGGTTCTTAAATTATTGTTAATCAATGTTAAAAACCCGGTCCAGTTGGTTAGAGGAAACCACATGCTTGGTATTGGAACCCGATTGTAAAATCGGTTCAAACCTGGTTTTTTTTTTGGACGCGTACTTTATTATTACATAGCCGATGGTTTGACAGGCTGCCACCATAGTTAGGCCGACCAAAACCGAGTCAACATGCTAACGTGACAAGAACTCGTTGCGAAATAAACAAGTTTGGGTAATAGACTTGAATTTGGTCAACGAGTTTACATGACACAACATAAAAATTAAACGATTAAAATTAAGGACACAACACAAATTAAATGATTAAAATTAAGGTCAGATTTTTTCCAACATTTTTACTGTTTATGTTAGTCGATACAAAACTGCATGTTTACCATTGTGCACCAAGGCCTACTGCAATGCTCATCACGAAGGTTGCCGTTGTCAACGTGGCTACGGTGGTGGTTCGTGAACACCACCCGAACCTTTCTGGTCGGGCATGGTTGTTCGTGAAGCCAAAAACGATTGACAACTCCCAATAGCTAGCTGTTTGAACATTTCCACCTTTGATTAGTTATGTTTAATGGTATTTTTTTGAATTTTTTTTATTTAAAACAAAACAACCATTTACTTATATAAATACCACAATACACAACCTCATTTTTACATCATTCTTCTTTTTATATATAAACATTTAAACACACAACTTTCTTTACAACCAAAAACCATAAATCCCAATCAAAATACCCCCCTCCCCATCGAAACTGCAAACCCGATGACACTTTTGCGTTTGATACAACTCATCGCCAATTGAAGGAGAGAAGTTAGTCTAGGTGTAGGTATTGGCTTCTCAAGAGCCAATTGAAGGAGAGAAATTAATGTTGCATTTTTTTTTAATTGATGCAATTTTTTTAGTATACTGTGGTATTTTAATTTAATGAAAAAACCAATTTTTTTAAAAAAATATGTTTTTAATGTATTTTTGAATTAAAAATAAAATAAAAAATGATATGGAATGATCTTTTAGTAGTAGGTATGTTATAGATTTAATGGTCGGATGTGGTGTTGATGTGTCACACATTACTATAATGATTATTGATGAGTTTTGTGGATGACCTAATATAAGTAGGTGAAAAAAAATCTTGATTATTGAAAAATTTAATAATCAGGCCACCAAAAAATATTTAAGTATAGATTGAAGCCGACTATAATTGCTAACTTTTGATTTTATAGTTTAAAGTAATAATTACAAAATATCACATTGTAAAAATACCTCTTGGGATTTATATTGTGGAAAATTAACTAAACTAACCATAATGTGATGTATATTTAAAGAAATAAACATTTTTTCCTGACAAAAAAATATATTTCCAATTGAAATTTTGGAGTTCGAGAGAAAAAAACCCTTCATAATAGAACAAGTCCGAATATATTGCGGAATAAAAAAAGTTGTTTCTTGCTAAAATCTAACAAAAAGTTGAAGAAACATAGTAAATAAGAAATATGTATGATATTAGGGTTTAAAACCAGACATTTGATGGAACACCTGTAATATTAAACACTTCGGAATTGACATTCAGACATTAGAAGAGAAATTTATTTGAAAAAAATCTCTGAAATTTGAAGAACAAATCCATAACCAAGCATTCAGGAGAAAGTTGTTATTTTTCAAAAACTTTAAAATGGTTATTTTATTTAAAAAAATCATTTATAAGGGTTTGTTTAGTGAATTTCCCTAGTATTTCTATCAATATAAATAATGCAAGTACTTACACAAGGTACCTTACACTATACATGTGTAAAAATCGAACTACAAAGTACAATATTTGAACACCCCTCTTAGTTTGTACGTAACTAATCGATCAACAAGGGACAAACAAAAAAGAAGGTCACGCGCTAACATGACCTGAAGGTGAAGGTAGTAAAGAATACACTTTATCACAAGAAAATAGCGTTCACGAGGTTCATGCATGTAAAGGCATATTTCCTTGACCACATAAGATATATATTTTGATGGTGTGGATATTATAAGTCCTCCATAAGACTCCTATACAATGTTGGGTTAGAAACATGCTTCCCATCAGAGGAAAGATTGAGTTTCGTGTCCATCAGGTATTTCACATATTGCATGTGGTCATGTTAGCTCTCGTAAGAATTTCCGTAGCAAAAGAAGACTAAGAAAAAAAATATTGGAGTTAGAGTGAGATACAATAATGCCAAGGAAGAATGTTAGAGATCCTAAGTCTAGCATGAAGAACTTAGACAAAAGTCAATTAACAAATCTAGTGTTGAGAGAGGTAGAAGAGGCTATACAAATAATCTCGTCAACGTAAACAAGAAGGTATATAATCTCTCGCTATTATTTTGATACATGTTTTGAAATTTAAAGGTTTGGTTAAAAGTTTGAAGTTTGCTATTATTTTTATACATATTTTGAAACTGTAAAGTAGTATTCCCTTCAATTGTATCAGTATCTTATTGATGTATTTATACACGTACAAGATATAATGAATAACAACAACTAGCTAGATAACACGAAGTTTAAAATATCCTATCTATATATTTTAATGTTATACGCTAATACCCCCCGTCAAGCTTATTGGTGGTGGTCCAACATGCAGCTTGCTACGAAATTGCTCAAAAAGAGGTCACAGAAGACTCTTGGTGAAGATGTCAGCTAGTTGTAGATGAGTGGGGATATACTTGGTGTGAAGTTTGCCAGAAGAAACGAGCTCACGAATGAAGTGATAGTCAATGTCAATGTGTTTAGAACGCTTGTAGGAGATGGGATTCTGGCTGAGAAAAAGTGCACTTTTATTCACACAAAAGAATGGGTATGGAAGGTGGCAACGCATGAAGTTCTCTTAGTAAGTGAGTGACCCAAACTATTTCTGATGCTGTGTTGGCCATAGCCCTGTATTCAGATTCACAACTAGAGCGAGACACCGTAGGTTGATTTTTCGCGCTCCAAGATACTAAGTTGCCACCTAGGAAGATCGAGTAACCATATGTCGACCGCCTTGTTTCAATGCACCTGGCCCAATCGGCATCCGAATAGCCTAAAACAGAAGAAGAGTGAGGGCGATGAAAATGCAAGCCATACGAAATGGTGCCTTTAACATATTGCAAAATGCGTTTAGCAACCTGAAAATGATCAACAGTGGGATTTTGAAGGAAATGGCTGACTTGATTTACAACATAAGAAAGATCCGGTCGAGTAATGGTAAGATATTGTAGTGCCCCGACTAATGAACGGTAAAGAGTTGGATCGGAATAGGGCACACCAGCTGTTAAAAGTTGATATGTGGCACATAGCGGTGTGGCAACTGGTTTGGAGTCAAGAAGCTGAGCTCTAGTCAAGATATCATGGGCATACTTTGCTTGAGTGAGGAAAATTCCATTATCGGTATATGTAACTTCAAGACCTAAGAAGTAACTGAGTTTTCCAAGATCTTTGGTAGCAAACTCGTTATTAATACGAGTAATGAAGTTGCGAATAAGAGTGGAATCGTTCCCCGTGAGAATTATGTCATCGACATAAACCAATAGATAGAGAAGAGTAGATCGCTGTTTGAGGATCAAAAGCAAAGTATCAGCACAGCTACACTGAAAACCAAGAGAGATAAAAAAAAGAGTTTAGTCTTTGAAACCATGCTTTCGGTGCCTGTTTTAGGCCATAAAGTGCTTTCTTCAAACGATAGACATGTAATGGAAAACGTGCATCAATAAACCCTGTGGGTTGCTCCATAAAAATTGTATCAATGAGTTTTCCATTTAGGAAAGCATTCTTTACGTCTAATTGGTGTAAAGGCTAGTTTCGCATAACTACAATAGATAGAACAATTCGGACCGTAGAAGCTTTAACAACAGGACTAAACGTATGAGAATAGTCAAGTCCAGGTACCTGTGTGAAACCTTGTGCAACTAAGCATGCCTTGTAACGATCAATGGTGCCATCGAATTTAAATTTTGTGCGAAAAATCCATTTGGAACCAACTACATTTGCATGAGACGGTCGTGGGACAAGCTCCCATGTATGATTTTCTTGCAAGGCTCGCATTTCCTCATCCATATCCATAAGCAAATGAGCATGTTTAGATGCAGATTTAAATCCAGTAGGAATGGTGGTAGTGAGGAGAGCTTGATGAAGAGCAGACATCCCAAGAGAGGCTAAATCAGCGTGGTGCTTAGGCTTGAAAAAACCGGCCTTGGAACGTGTGATCATGGAGTGAGATGGCACCAATGGTGAGTGGGGAGTAAGCTATCGTGATGATAGTGGAGGGCTGTCAGCAGGTACCGAAAACTGATCATTAGCAGCGACTGGGGAAGGTAAGACTGTGGGTGCTGTTGGAACGGGCAGACACATTGGACATGGAGTTGTGGTTTTGCACGAGTTATGAGCATTAGCGGGCGCTGTAACAACAGGTGCTGGAGTATATGTATTTGTTTGAGTAGTAGAGCTATTTTATCAAGTAGGTTCATTAAATGAAGAGAACAATAATTGAGATGCATCAGCAGACGGGGAATCATTGGCAAATGGAAAGCAAGATTCGTCAAATTTAGCGTGCCTGGTTGTGTAAATACGGTGTGTACTCGAGTCTAGACATCTATACCCTTTATAGTTGGTGTTGTAACCAATGAAGATATAAGGGTGGCTTCGTGGGGTTAATTTGTTGGCTGAGTAATCACGTAGATATGGAAAAACACGACATACAAACACTTTGAAGATGTCATAATTGGGAGGAGTTTGATATAGCACTTCAAAGGGGATTTTGTTTTTAATGACTTTAGATGGGAGGCGGTTGATGATGTAGACTGCAGAGGTAAAAGCATCAACCCATAATGAAGCTGGTTCATGGCAATTAAATAGCATCGCGAGACCAGTTTTAGTGACATGACGATGTTTACGTTCAACTCTCCCATTCTGTTGAGGTGTGTGGGGGAAAGAGATACGATGATGAGTACCATTTGAGGTAAGGAGTTGTTGCACCTTTTTATTTATAAACTCGGTCCCCCATCAGTTTGAAATTTTTTGACCTTGCATGAGAACTGATTTTGTACGAACAGTAAGAAGTTTGTGAATATTTGTGCAAAGTCGCTTAAGTGGATAGAACCATGTAAACCTAGAATGATCATCAACAAAAATAACATAATATAGATAACCATCAATGGATGGTAAAGGTACTAGGCCCCATAGGTCGCAGTGAATTAGGTCAAGTACATGAGTGGCACGTTTATAATTTTCATGAAATAGCAAGCATTTGCTTTTTGACAGTTAGCAAAAAGAACATACACCAGGTTTTGGTAAAACAATTGTAAGAGATAAAGAACCAAGCTTTTGTAATAAAGAAATAATGTCAAACGTTACATGACCTAATCTACTATGCCATAATTCATAAGAAGCACTAGTCCTTTTATTCCTTAAACGGGCTAAAAACGTCTTATGTCCTTGCTCAAGGATATAAAGACCGCCCTCAACTCTACCCCTTGCGATTATTTCCTTGGTGCTGCGATTTTGAATTGCAAAAAAGTTATTAGAAAA